TCAATGTATTTTTTTTATTTTGGAGGCAGGTTCTTACTCTGTAGCCTAGGCTGATTTCAAACTCTCATTCCTTTCTGTCTTTGCCTTCATAGTGCTGCTGGGACTATAGCTGTGCATTACCACACCTGGAAAAAAACAAAACAGGACTTCCTGTGGACCAGGCTGGGGGCTGGGGGGGGGAGCAGGAGAGGGGGAGGGAATGATTGCACTGCACCTTAGCAGAGATCCTGCACTGCACCTTAGCTGCCTGTTCCCAGTTCCAAGGTTTCTTTCTTCCTTTTTACACAGTCCTCACTGACCCCCGGCCTGTGCCCTTGATGCCCCTGAGCACAGTAGGAGCTGTCCCTGCTGGCTGATGAGCACTGTGCAACATCGGAGTTCCTACTTGCTCATGTTACCATAATCAGGAAAAACACAGATTTTTAGGTGTGTATGTGTGTGCGCGTGTGAGCGCACACATGCACACGTGCATGCTGACATAGGAGCTTGAACTCAGAGCCTCATTTTCTCTTTTGACTTTTTCACTCACAGCTGCTGCTCTACTCCTCAAGTCATACCTCCACTTCCAACTTTGTGCTGGTTAATTGGATATAAGAGTCTCATAGATTTTCCTTCCCAGGCTGGCTTTGAGCTATGATCTTCAGGTCTTAGCCTGTTGAATAGCTAGGATTACAGGCCCCAGTCACTGGTGTTTGGTCACATATCTTCTTTATTGACATTCCTTTCTCCATTGTTACCTAACCAATAATGGTATGTGCACATCTTAGAGGTCACAGACTAAGAGTCACAGACTACTAGGCTAGGCCCTAAGACAGGATGGATTTGGTACATAGTAAAACTATGGTTTCTATTTTTGCTGCCCCATTTTCAACACTACTAGAAAATCAAGGTGGGGTGAGCCAAGGCCTCTCTGTTTTATTCTTGTTCTTTTACTCCTCTGCCGTGTATTTTCTTGGCCAACAAGTTCTCCTATGAATAAGTAATCAGACAGTTTTTCCTTCAGACATGCTTTGAAAAGGAATCAAGAACTGAGTGAGAGGCTCATTCTTAATCTTCATTGCTACTTTGGCAAAATATAAAATTGATTTGAAACATAACTGAAGTCTTTTCTTGCAATATTTCCATGGTACCATTAGTTTCTCAAAGTATTTCTATGATACTGTAGAGCCATAGCTATGTTTCTGCAGTGATTATCTATCATGAGCTAAAGAGCCAACTTTCCTTAGAAACAGAAAAACTGTTAGGAAAATAAGTATTATTATTATAATCTCTACATAGATGTACCATCATTTCAATTTGGCATGTGATTGTAGTGAAGTACATCTTGATCAGTGCCACCCCTCCGGCCCTTCTCCCATCTCTCCCAGCCCCGCCCCTCCCCTCCAGTGTCTGGCTCTGTGTTCACATGAGTGCATTGACTATGTGCAGGATGATGCGTCCTGTGCCCACAGGAACAGGCGGCACAACTGGGATGCCTGGGAAGCTGTTGTGGTTGGAAGTCCTGGCCATTATCCCACTGTATCCCTGTCACCTGTCTGCTTTTCCTCCGAGTCCACCAAGACAATACTCTTGGCTTTCCTTTGCCTTCGTTGTTGTACCAGAGTCTGGATGCCCCATGCAGGTTGGATTGGGCCAGCAGGAAGAACACATCCCTTGTCCCCAGACTGCTTTCATCCATTGCTGTGCTCTCTGAATCAAGAATTGCTCTCTGCTCTTAGTCTCTCTTCCATTCATCTCCTATCTCTCAGTCTCCCTCTTCCCCTCCCTCCCTTGCTTTTCCCCTTCCTCATAGATTAACCTCTGTGTTGAGAAAGAGAAAAACACTGGTTATCAAGCACAGTGGGAAATTGTCATTTTTTAAAATAGCTGGTTAACTGGAAAGAGTCTTCCAGAATTTTCTGCCTTGGGCTGGCTTCCAGCAGCGACCCTCTGGATTACATGGAGTCTCCCCAGTAGCTAAGATTACAGGAATGAGCCACTGGCCCAGAGGCTCTCTATCAATTTGTTAGAAAACCTTCTAATAGGACCAGAGTGTGGAGACTTCAAAAGGCCTGGGGAGGGGCAGGAGTGGGGAGGGAGGGAGCCATTCTGCATGCCTGGTGCTGGTATCTGTGGCTGTAATGGCTGTGAGCAAGGGAAATTGAGTAACTTCCTTCACCCTGAATATATCAACTATTTGTGGGGTGCCCATGGCTTGACCATAGAACATAGGACCAAATAGAGTTTTATCCTATGCAGCTAGGCAGTGCTTGTGAATACCTGTCACCATATTGGGAATGTACAGTTGAAGAAAGCACAATAATTTCTTGAAACTGAAATAGTATCATAGATTGTGTTCACTTTTAGTGTCACATGACATAAGTCTGAACAGTGTCTCATGCTGGAGTTAATGAATGGACACCAGGGCTAATTACACCACATGCTATGGGAAGTGAAGCCCTGAGTCTGTGGACCAGGCCTGGCCTCCAGTGCAGAAGCTTCCAGAATGTTGTCCAGCGAAATCAGAGCAGCCTCAGCTCTGAGAGGTCCCAGAGACGAAGGCAGATTGACAGTCAGCTGAACGTTTCTACCAAGTTCCTGAGAAGTCTGTTTATAGTGAGGTTATATTGTTATTGCTGTTGTTGTTGTTGTTATTGTGTGTGTACTGGGGCTTGAACTTAGGGCCTGGATGCTGTCTCTAAACTTTATTCACTTCAAGCTGGTGCTCTACCATTTGAGCCACAGCTCCACTTCCAGCTTTTGCCAGCTAATTGGAGATAAGTTTCTCAGAGTTTTCTGCCTGAACTAGCTTTGAACCATGATCCTCAGGCTCCTGCGTCATCAGGATTCCGGGGTGAGCCCCCAAAGTCTGGCTCATGCACATTTACCAATGGAAACTTTCCTCGGATAAATGTTCCTCCATTCAGTGCAGAGGCAGCGCTTTCAGGGGGACCCTGAGCCGGGACAGACTCTTGCAAGGGTGCCCCACTTCCAGCCGCAAGGGCCCAGTAGAGCAAGAGAATCAATGAGAGGTGACCAAGGCCTCTGGCAGCCAGCTCCCCAGGCCCGACAGAGGCTGCAGGTGGGGAAAGCAGCCCCAAGTCCCCCCCCCCGTCTCTATCCCCCAGTCCCTGCATCCCCCCTCTCCCTGTCCCCATCCCCATGTCTCCACATCCCCCATCCTTGTCCCCATATTCTCCCCTCCCATCCCCTCGTCCCAGTATCCCCCATCCCTGTATCCCTCCCACCCCGTCCATGCATGCCCCCATTCCCGCATCCCCCTCACCCCTCCTCCTGTCCCACGTCCCCTTCAGTCTGAAGCCACACAGAGCTATGGTCCCGAGCCTCCTGGCAAACCCTCCTCTATCTCACAGATCTGCCAAGTTGGTGCTGAGCCCTGGACACCAGCGGCCGCTGTTGACTGACTGGCCCCCAAAGCTCGTCTAGCTACAGTGGGATAAACACACATGAATGCATTAAGTACTACAGACTAATACAGTATGCAAATATACCTTTATATACCACCTGGAGTCTACTTCAGAATAGAGCACAACATAATTTCCCGTATTTTTTATCCATCTTTAAATAAAATGTTTATGAACCTCAGGATTTGAGAGTACAGACAGATGCCAGGGAACTCTGAGCAGACTTTGGTCTGAGAAGCTGATGCAAATCCTGAGCTTGCAAACCGAGGGGCAGGAGGAAGGCAGGCTGGCCTCTGCTTTCACTGAGGGACAAGAGGAAGGCAGGCTGACCTCCGCTTTCAACTTTGTGGCTCTTTTGTTAAAAATCACTCTGTGGAATTGTTTAAATAGGGATACAGGTGGACCCATTGCAACAATGAGATGTACAAGACGTTATGTCAAAAAATGAACTTTACAACTTTGGCATGGATGGGAGGGGGAAATGGAGGGGGTGGAAATGGGAAAGGATGGTAAGGGGAAACAAAGGAGGAGGCAACAATGCTTGACAAGAAATGTACTCATTACCTTGCTCATGTAATTGTAACCCCTCTGTAAGGTATTTTCACAATTTAAAAAATCACTCTGTGGCCAGGAGCTGGGGTCTCACACCTGTAATCCTATCTGGGAGGATGAGATCTGAGGAACATGGTTCAAAGCCAGCCCAGGCAGGAACATCTGTCCGTGAGACTTATCTCCAAGTAACCACTGGAAAACATGGTGCTGTGGCTCAAAGTGGTAGAGTGCTAGCCTTGAGTGAAAAAGTGCAGAGACAGTGCTCAGGCCCTGAGTTCAAGCCCCATTGCCACCACTACCAACAACAGAGAACAACACTCGGTGTGTGTGTGTGTGTGTGTGTGCCACTACTGGGTCTTGAACTCAGAGGGTGGACATTGTGCATAGATTTTGCTTAAGGCTTTGCTCCACCACTTGAGCCACAACTACACTTTCAGCTTTTTGCTGCTTAGTTGGAGATTAGAGTCTCATGGACTTTCCTTCCTGGGCTTGAACTCAGAACATCAGCCATCAGACTCCTGAGTAGCTAGGATTACAGGTGGGACACTAGGCACACCCGGCTCTGCCTGGCCCTGGCTCCAGTCTGACTGCTACGATGTAGACAGGCAAGTTTTTCAGTCCTGAGCAAATTGTTTTTTCCCACTGTGGTGGGAACAATTCCTTCCCTGAAACAAATGGCAAGCTTAATTATGTAATGCATTTCCCGCATCAATTTCTGCATGGTGATTTACTATCTCCTGTATGCTTTCTTATTGCCATGAAGTAGATCACCCCATAATATTCAAGCAAGTGGGTCCTGACAGCCCCATACCCAAGGGTGTTTGGGGAGAGAACACAGATGCATCACAAAAATCCATGATTACATGTGCAAGGCCTCACCTTAAAAGATGAATAACTCTTGTTAAAACCACAAATGCATGTTCCGTTTCTGTGTTGGAAGAAAGAAACCTACCTTATAAATATGTAAGTTCCTGAACACATCCAGAATAAAATGCACTTAAAAAACTGATATGTAGACAAAAGTTTATTTACACCATACAACATTTTAAATATTTTATACACAGTGCAGTAGAGAGAAGCACTTGGAGCTCTCTAGAGAAAACTGCGATAATAAAGATGTGAAATATATTATTCATATAAAAGTGAGATTATTACTTTATTGCATTTAAAGCAATGAAGAATGTAGCTCAACAAACATTCATTTAATGACAAAAACTTTGCTTTTTTATATTATAAAGTAAAAAGTGTAGTAATGGCCAAACAGACTGTTATAAACTTTAAAAACTGCATAAATATATACATTGTGCTTCATGGTGAAGTTTTCTGGAAAACTAGACCACATGAAGCGGTTACAACACGAGTCGTTGCGTGAGGTTTATCTATAGAGATCCATCACCTTACGAATCCATTCCACGCACGCACAACACTGGGTCGGACTGTACACCGGGGCCTCTCCCCCAATGGTGCGGGCGGGCACAGGTCCAGCCGCGGACATAGCACGGGACATCCCAGGGACCCATGCTGGGCCTGGGTGGTCACCGAGCATGGCACCGTCGTGTCCGCCTTGGCCCAACTGCCCGGTCACACCTCGGTCTGGAAGTCCCCTTCCTGCACGTCCAGAGGCAAGCTCAGACACTTCTCCCACTCAGCCGGCCTCAGCTCCAGGGCGTCCTTGGTCTCTGTGTCCAGGACATTGATGGTGGTGTAGTGCTGGTACTCGCTGGGGGCCTGGAATGTGTCCCACGGGCTCTTGCTGGGCACTGGGGCCTCCTGTGGGGAGAGGAAGGGAGTGGTTCACAGGGTGTCTGCATGAAGAGGATGGAGGGGAGGGATCTGAGGAGGGGAGAGAGCTGAGGGAGTTGGGGCCGCTGCAGGCACAGCTTGGCCAGCATTGTCCTTTCACTGAACAAATGAGTGGCCACTTTCCTAACACGTCCTGAGAGTTCAAACGTGCAAACAGTGCTAAGAGGCAATGTGCAAGACTTTTGCTGTTTTGTGCCTGTCCTAGGGCTTGAACTCAGGGCCTGGGTGCTGTCCCTGATCTTTTCTGCTCAAGGCTGGTGCTGTCACTTGAGCTACAGCTCCTCTTCTAGAATTTTGCTGGTTGATTAGAAATACATGTCACAGAAACTTTTCTGCCCTGGTTGTCTCTGTCATTCTCAGATCTCAGCTTCCTGGGTAGCTGGAGTTACAACATGAGCCATGTGTGCCTGGCTTCTGCTGAACTTTTGAGAAGTTCTATTATATGGATAATAAACCAACCCATTGGATGACTTTGTTTTTATTTTGTGGTACTGGGACTCAGACCCTGGGCCTTTTGCTTAGGAGACAAGTGCTCCACCCTTTGTGCTATAACTCCCACTGTTTACTTTTCAGACAGTTTACTTTCCAACTCCTGCTGGGAGCAACCAGGGACTGTGATCCTCCTATTTCTCCCTCCCATATAGCAAGGATTACAGACATAGGCTACTATGGGCAACAGGCTGGCTTTCTTGTTCATTCCCTGGTCACAGGCAGGATCCCCAGGAGAAGCATGGTTCCTGGGCTCTGAGGTTGCCCCTTAGATTTCTGTGGTGAAGAGCTGCTGGCCCACAGTGGGCATGGCCCTGTGGTGGCAGGGATGGAGCTGGGAGCCAGTTGGTCGGTGGTACCCCCAGTCCACCCTTCTCCCTGTGAGGTGGGTGTGAGCAGGGGCAGCCTGCAAGCCTGGGACCCTGTGTGACTTTCTCAGCCCTGAGTGCATAGGTGCAAAGGCTGAATACAGGAGCAGCTGTGCGGAAGCTAGTGCACGAGGCACCTGAATGGCCCTGGCTGGAGGCGGGAATCTGGTGGGAGGACTTGATCAGAATCTGCATGTTTCTGAGTTTATGAGGCTGTGCTTTGAGCTCAAGTAAGCATGGAGGAGAAACAGACTGAGTGTGGTAATTCTAAAAATGCTAGCCTGATTTTGGGATGCATGAGTTGAAATGAGGGGAGATGAGTGTGAGAACAGGGTCCCCCAAAGCCTGCTTGGTGGCCCCACACCTCCCAGGGCCTGGGGTGGGCGGGCTGTCCACTCTCTTGCCTAGGCCAGGGTGGAGGGTTAGCTCGAAGCCGTCCATGTCTGTACATTGTCTCCAAAAATTAAAAAAAAAAGTAAAAGGACACAGGACAGAAGAAAGGACAGAAAGGCCACCAGTGTGTCTGCTCTTATAGGTGTGGTGCAGGGCCCTGGGCGGGGTTTACTCTCTGGATCTCACTACCATGCCTTAAATGGTTTCCTGCCTGGGAAGGGAGACTTGGCCCGTTCTTTTGGCTTCCCTTTGACTTCCTAATTTCTGCCACTCTCCGCCAACTCCATCCTTTGTAGCCACAGCCCCTCCCCTCCCCGAGAAAACAATTTCCAGATTCTTCAGAAACATCTTACTTTGCCTAATTATGAAATTTTTCCATCAGCAATGTGCCATCACAAATTATGTGCCTGAATTAGGATAATGAACTCATTCATATATTCAGTATTGATCAAAACTGAACAGGAACTCCTTTTGTTTTCTGCCCTCAGATATTTAAGATAATAATTGAGCAGGGACAGCAATGCTGTCCTAACTTTCCAAATGGTAAATATTTATACATCCCTTCCAGAAAAGGCAGGCTGCCGCAGAGGCGGCGTGTCATGAGGAGGCTATTTTGGTTGTCAGGAAATGGAGACACAGATATTTGTGCTGTTAATGATTCCATGTGCGTATGTGTGAGAGGGGAGTGCAGTCTCACACACAGCCGGCTGTGTTTGGTGTGGAAGGCTTTCAGATTGGTAAACACATTCTTCTCCTTCTTTCTTTTTACATATGAATTTCTTCTGTTTATTTCAATGTTGCCTTTCAGTATTCTGAAATGGGTAGTTAATGTGTTTAGGCCTAATCTCAGTGGGGTAATTCTCATTCATCTGCTGGCTAAAATTTGATGGCTTCCCGTGAAGAGGAGAGCGAGCATGGAGAGTGCAGGTGCCTCCGGAGGCCAAGGCTGCGGGCATCCGCGGCCCATCGTGCTGAGACTCGACTAAGAGTCCAGCACAGGCTGTGGTCTGTCCACTTGTGTTCTTTAGCTTTTCATAAACCACACTCATCAGTAAGCTGGGGCTAAGTCAGTCAAACACTGTGGAATGATGGGATGTAGGTGCGATGCAATAGCACCCACAGACCCATCCATTATAAATACATAGCAGATGGGGCTGGGAAGGTGGCTCAGTGGTAGAGCGCTTGCCTTGCATGCCTGAGGCCCTGGGTTCAATTCCTCAGCACCACATAAGCAAAAAGAAAAAAGCCGGAAGTGGCGCTGTGGCTCAAGTGGTAGAGCGCTAGCCTTGAGCTGAAGGACAGTGCCCAGGCCCAGAGTTCAGGCTCCACGACCGGACCCAAAAAAAAAAAAAAATAAATACATAGCAGAGGTAACTATCTCTGTCTCTGTACCCATGATCAATCCATTGGCTGATCTCTACTCTCATCTATTTCGATCTCTACCATCTGTCTGTATCTATAATCCCTACTCCAATCTATATACGTATCTATCTACATCTCTAATCGATCAAAATCATCTACATCTATCAATCTACCTATCTATCATCATCTATTTCATAGCCAAGGAGAAGCACCCAGCATGGGCCAGGCCTGGGGCTGGCGGCGGCTCTGGTCTGTCTCTCTCAGGGTGAGCCTGGGTGCTGCGGCTGGGAGGTGGGGCTGGCTTTTGATCACAGGACTGAGGAGTCCATCTATGACTATTTTCTAGTTAGGAAAAGGATCCAGAGTCCTGTGACTTGCCGGGGACGCAATCACTCCGGCTGTGTTTTCACCTGAACGCCGGTCTCTACATCACACTCCAGTGCTATCGTGAAGAAAGAGGGAGCCGCTGGTGACTGAGCTATGACCATGGCTGCTCCGTGACTGCATGCTGCTGCTGTGTGTGATAAAACCCTATGCAGGCAGCAGGCGGTGTAGACGGTGGAGAGGGCCGGGTGGTTGGAGCCCAGGGCCCACACTGCCCTGTTGACTGGCGAGGACGGCGCCCAAGCCGACTCACCACAAATGCGGAGTCTCCTGGAGGTAAAGCTCCTTCAACCTGGTTCCAGGCACAACTTTATGTGTAGATCATAACATGCGATGGCTTTCTGGTGGCAGGTATTCAAATAAAAATGGAAAAAATAGCCCACTATTTTGACACTTCAATCAGCTGACGTTTACTCAGGATAAAATGGCTGCCAAAGCCACCATATTTTTGCTATGTAACCATACATAGCAATTACAATGAGGGGGACATTTAAAGTATGGATAACCTGCTTAAGAGGTTCTAATTTTGTGTCCCGCTAACATCTCTGGGACACATTTTGAAGACTGATTATTTTTCTGGACTGTATGAGCAGTGTGCAAAACAGGGCACGTGCAACACCACATCTGCACTGGCCAGGGAGGTGAGAACTCACCATACTGCTTGTATTTGGTATATCCCGAAATCTGTCCAGGGTCTGGAATTTCTGATTGAGCTCCTGAAACAGCTCCATGTGCCGCTTCCTCGTGTGCATGACCTTCTGCAAGAGAGAACAGCATGGCTCTCATTCCTGATTTGATTTCTGTACTCAGGAAGAAGTTTTGTTATATGCTTGTTTAAATAATAAGGAACAACAAGTCTGACAGAAAGCAGGGGTCCCAAAAGGCACCATGAATACACTTGATGGGCACTGAGTCTTTATCTCCTGTTTGGGACATCTTTAAAGAAAATGGAAGACTCAGCTTTCTTTTCCTTTTTTAAATTAAATTTTCTTTGTGTTTTTGTACTGGTCCTGGGACTTGAACTCAGGGCCTGGGTACTGTCCCTGAACAATTTTTCCTCAAGGCTGGAGCCACTGGCAGCTTCACTGCCAGCACTTTGCTGGTTAGCTGTCTCGCGCACTTTCCTCAGAGCTGGTGTTGAACCTCTATCCTCAGCTCTCAGCCTCCCAGTAGCCAGGGCTACAGGGCTTCTTGATCAGACACCCCACCCATCATTCTCCCCTGGTCCATCCTGTCCTCCAGGCATTTTCCTGCTGCTTGGTTTTTCACTCAAGGCACGATTTGGTGGTTAATCCACGGACTTTCCTGCCCCTCTGGCTTTACAACACAATTTTCAGACCTCAGCTTCCTGAGTAGCTAGGATTACAGGCAAGAGCCATCTGCATTTGTAAGAATACCAAACATACCAATTTTTTCTTGTAGGTATATTAAAAGTGCAGCAGTTTTTCTGGCATAAGATTTCCATCACTGAAAGGTTAAATGTGCTTTATAAAAATTGTTACAATATTTTTCAAATGTTAAAATTTTGGACTTGTAAGTGCCGAGTCCTTGATGTTTGCCCTCTGTATGTTTCCTGCCTAGAAGCACTAAAGCCCTAGCTTGCTGCACTCAAGTGGGGGCGAAATCTCAGGCATGGCCAGTAAGCCTGACCCGAGCACCAGAGTGTGAAACACAGAGACCGGAAAGCCTTGCACTTTCCGTGCAAGCGCAGGGCCTGGTTCTCACATGGCTGTCTTGGTTGGCTGGTGCTCCAGCCTGACTTTGTCCTGGTTAGTGGGAAGTAAAGTTTAGAAGACTTCTCTACCTGAAGTGGTTTGGAGCCATAAGCCTCCAGATCTCTGATGTCTTGGAGTACAGGTGTGAGCCACTGGCACCTGGCTCAGATGGTTGTTTGTGTGATGGCATAAAACCTTGACAACACATGTTCTGGTGTAACATGCGGCTGCTAAGCTTCTCCATTCACAAACACACGTGAATATTCTTCATCCCTCTTATACCCTTCCCTCTCATTAACTCAAGTCACGAGTAAGGACGGCCTTGAACTAATCAGAGACCATAACATAGAATTTGCTGTCAAAGGGAGAAAATGTCCTTCTCAAGTTTGATTTTTAAACATTAGAAATCCATCTTTTGGTGAGTGTCCAAGGTTGTGGCTTCCATGTTTGTGTACAGTTCTAAAGTGTGTGTGTTCACAAGGAGCTCACTGGGCGTGCACTGGCATCTTCTACTGACACCTCAGCCCTATTTTTAATATTTAGTTTATTCTGTTGTAACTGTATCAGTACTAGGGCTTGAAAATATGGCCTCGAGTTCTCACTTGGCTTTTATGCTGAAGGCTGGTGCTTTACCACTTGAGCCACACCTCCACATCTGGCTTTTTTGTGGTTAACTGAGATAAGAGTCTCACAGAATTTTCTTCCTGAGCTGACTTTGAACTATAATCCTCCTACCTCAGCCACCTGTGTAGGTAGGGTTACGGGTGATAGTCTAGCTCCATTTTTAAAATTTTCAAAAGTTAAGCATTTGGAAAAACAGTCACATCTCCAAGAGATGATTACTAATATCTCATTTTTTTTTCTAGAGAGATCCTTGCAGAGTATATTTCCTTGAGGGAGAGGGTGTGCAAAGAAGGGCGAAAAAGAAAGGCAATTGAATGTTTAACGTATTTTAAAAAGCCTATTTTTCCAAAAAATTTGCTTCCCTAATTTGATTTGCACACATCTAGGTTGTTATTATCTACTTTTCTCTAGCCTACATTTTAAGTTCTTTGCAATAATGAGTATCTTTCTTCGTTCCTCTGAATAAGCTATGAAGTCCATGGTCAGATGAGAGGAAATGAGACGGAGAAGCAGAAGACAGGAGACAGAGGAGCAGAGCACAGGAGACAGAGGAGCAGAGCAGGGGAGACAGAGGAGCAGAGGATGGGAGATGGAGGAGCACCCAGGGAACAGGCGCTGCTGAAGCTGGCTGATGACATCTGGTAGGAAGGAGATCTGCACAAGAAGCCTGGTGGGGTCAGGGACCACAGGCCTGGCAATGTGAACCCGGTCCTTAAGCCCATGGGGAGATGGAACATGACCTGGAATGTCAACTTTTGTGTCTGAGCAACACCAAACAGACAAAGCAGAGCTGCGCTGGGAGCTTGCTACTCTTCATGGCGGGCCGGCTAGCCCAGGGTCTTTGGCACAGATGGTCCCCATGGTCAGCAGGTGGAATCTCTGTGCACGTCTCCCCCAAACTCAGTACGCAGGCACTTGGGCAGCCAAGACGAACCCACCAGCCTGGGCATGGCCTTGTCTCATGAGGAGGCCGTTGTCTGGTACTAGATGGAGATGACACGGAATTGGAGCAAACAGTGGGATTTGTAAACAGAAGGACATGGGTGCGGGCATGCCCACATGTTCACTCTCAGATCTTAGCTGACAGTTCTGTCAGTTATTCCTATGATCCTGCCTATTCCCTCCTTTCCTAAAGTCCAGAGGTGCTTGGGTTCAAGTTTCGATCCTGTGTTCTCTTCAAGGAGTTGGCTCCTTTCCGGGATGGGACGCATGCTCTCCTGTGAGGGACCCGGTGCCAGGCAGCGCCTGGTCTCGGCCCACAACGTGCAGGCTGGGTTTTCCCCCCGCAACTGCTGGCACTGTGTCTTGTGCCATGTCCCAGCTGTGCCGAGTGTGGGCCCTGGCTGTGAAGACAGACCTGTGGGCCGATACCCACTGCACCCCGCCTGAACAGGAGCTACTGCATGCGCTTTCCAGGAAGCACTCCTCCGTGTGTCCAGGCCACTCCCCGTGGCTTGCTGTCCAACGCCCCAGCCAGGTCAGCTGTGTCCCGCTGGAGAGAAGGGCCGGTGCCGAGGGAGACTCCGTGGCACTTTACTCTAAACTGGGGGATTTCATTTCGAGGATCGTTACGATATACTAAAAAAATACACGAGGAAAATACAAACTCACAGTGGTCGCAGCGCTTTCTAACCAACAGGTCTTTCCTAACATTTCACACATGTTCACAAAAGCTGTTCTGAAATGAATATGGAAGTGAGTGAAAAATCCGGATGTTCAAATATGGGCGCAAACTCCTCTGAAATATTCGCTGAGAACATGTCCTCAGGCCAGGTAATAGTCCTAGATTGGAACAGCGCTCTCGGCTCTGCTAGGAATGGTGACAGCGGTGCTGCCCAGCACTGGGCTGAAGCTTACGTCAGAGCACAAAGCCCATGCAGCCGGCCGGGTCTCCACCGGCAACTTCTTCCCACTTCACAGAGAGGAAGGCTCATCAATGGAAAGACACGAATGTTGGGGGATTTCTAACCTTGCCAGCCATGTTCTGGGACAGCAATGGTGAAGGTCTTCTCACATGATTTTTCCTTGCCTGCCAAATGAGATGTTTTTCATGCCTACAAATCTTGCAGGTCCATGTCAGCGATGCATTTTGGAACTAGCCTGACTTCAGTGTTGATCAAGCTAACTTCTGATCTTTGTTTGTGACTTAAACATCACGCTTTCCAAAGAAATTGGCTTCTGTGAAAACCTCAATTTACAACTAAGGTTTCAAAACTGCTGTTTGCTCAAACGTCTATCCCAGGTGTATTTTCTACTGAAGTTGAAGATGGCTTATATCGGCAATCCCTTCAGAATTGTTTCCTTATACTGCTCAGAGAATATGACATGCATGCTTTGCCACCACCATCAGTGCATGGTGCTCCTATCTGGTTGATGTCACTCAGTGTGTGTGAAGCAGTGTGAGGACTCACCCAGGGGGCCAAAACTGGCCTCCCTGGACTCCTGCCCTTCTCCTTTCCAGGCTGTTCTTCACCATGTGCTGCAGTAGCTGGAGAGGGGCAGGCAGTAGGGAGGCCTGGAGGCCATGAAGGCCTTTCTGGCCCTCAGATGTGTGAGAAGGAGGAGAACCAGGACAGTGCCCTGCTGTGATGTGTGTGGTCTTGCGTGCCTTCTGCATCCTGACAACTGTTCTAGAACCTTCAGAGATGTAGGGCGGCTATGTCCTGGATACATTTGTGTGGCGATCTCACTTCTGTCCATTTCAGGTTGTGAATCTGCAGACTGGCGTCCAATCCTTCTCCGGCCCCGGCTTCTGGGGCAAGTCTTGCCCTGCTGTGTTCTTTTGAAGGTTTTCAGAAGGATGGGAAGTGGGAATCATGGGCGCCACAGCTAAAATCCATTGAGGGAGCAGCAGCGATGATTTTATTTCCTCATCTCCACAACATGGGGAGGCCAAAGCCATTGCTACCCATTTGTTGGGCAAGAGACGCGCTGGGGCGGGCTGCCTGCATGCAGTCCGCACGCAAGCAGCTGTCCACATGTAAGCAGCTGGGTGCCAAGTTCAGAATGTTACCCTGCCTTCAGACAGCTCACCCTGTACCACCCAGATCAGACGGAGAGGGTGAGGAGACAGCCAGATGGGATGGGATGGGCAGGGAGCACATATATATGAGGAGACTGGACCATGCTGCCACCACGCGGCACTGTCAGGATCTTCCCGTTGGGTCTCTGAAAGCCTTGTGGGCAGGAGTGACGCATCTGTGCGTCCTGGATGCTTGGCACACAGTATGACATTTAGCAGGTACTTAATCCCTGTGAGCTAGTGACACTGAACAGACGCAACCTCACGGAGCAGGGGCCAGGGTGGTGCTCAAGGCTTGGAAGGCATCTTCTGTCTAAGAGCTCCCCACAGCAGAAGGCTCTGGAGGGAGCCCATGGCCCGCTCCATTCTATGAGGCTTCCTTACCCTGCAGACACAGGGAAGGTACGTGGAACAAATTATCTAGATGGTTCAACTTTGTGATCTTTTACTTAGGTGAGTGTGTACAGGTACTGGGGTTTAAATTCAGGCCCCCACCATCATTTGGCTTTTTCCCCTCAATGCTGGTGCTTTACAACACTTGAGCCATCCTCCACTTTTGGCTTTTTACTGGTTAATTGGAGAAAAGCATCTCCAAACTTCCCTGCCATGACAGGCTTCGCACCATCATCCTCAGACCTCAGCTGGGATTAGCTAGGACTCCACATATGAGCCACGTTCACAGGTTCACCTTTTGCTGTCTGTGGACAAGGCCTGTAGAGATGTCCGAGGACAGGCTGTGTGAGGGGCATCTCCGGTGGAACTCGAACCAGCCATGAATGTTGCCTGGACAGGAGTTCAAACAAGCTGATTTCCGGGGGAGCAGGTGGGTGTAAAGTAGGAAGGGAAGAAGCCTGTGGATTTCCATGGGATGGTCATCATGTGTGTGGTGTGACAAGGAGTGGCAGGGATCTCAACATAAGCCAAGTGCATCTAGCCTCAGGGTAAACAAAGGACAGGGACCACCCAAGACTGCACCCAGACTAGTCCTCAGGGATCACGCACTGCGCAAGACTAGTCTTACTCATTGCCAGGTCTCGAAGCAGCAATGCTATGCCTGGACAGTCTGTGGAAGACGGGTGCAGATCCCTGCTGCTACACACCTGATGGAAACACTGAGGAGCTGCTGAAGAAACGATCATGTCTGAACGCCCCCACCAGCCCCCATCCAATCTGACAGCTTTAGGAATTATGACTAAAGAGCTGGAGGATATGATGTGTTTAAACGCTCCTTTATTGTTAGCAGGCCTTTCTGTGAAGTTGCTGTTGTTATATGAAGAAGGCCTGACAGGAACAGAAGTGTCAGCTGGAGGAAGCTGCTCCCAGTCGCCATGGAAAATGAAGGAGGGGGGAATTGGATTTTCTGATGCCCAGCGCTGCACCTCTGACCTCCAGCCCTGTGATTTCACAGCTGCTTGCTTGCTGGGAGCCTGCATTTTAGATCTAGGTTTTTTACTCTGTTTTGCCACCAATGCCCTGTGGGTGATTTTTGTGCTTCCTTGCCTCTGTAGCAACACAGCAGTTCACTGCTTTTACAACTATATGTCTGTATGTGCACACTTCCAAATTCTTTTGGTAGCCCAAGGTAAGGTGCTGTATCACCTGTGCATGTCCATGTATGTACACACAAACGTGCACACACACATGCATGCTCCCTTATTTTTGGCTACTTAAGGAATTAATAGATGTGGGGGAAGAAGACAGAAGGGGTGATGTGTGAACTGTACTACAGTGTAGACATGGGAAAAATTAACACTTAAATCTACCCTGCACTTCAAGCCCCAGGATGTACAAAAAAAAAAAAAAAGAGAGAGATTCTAAATCTACCCTGCATATAACGATCAGGTAATAATAACAGAAAAGAATAGATAGGAAAAAATAACATATGGTCTGCTTGGTAAAGGACTGGAAATGTGGAAACAGCTGTTTTTATGAGAATGTATAATCGTGGTACTTGGAGACTAAAATCTTAGGACACAATGAAACATATGACCAAAAGCTTCCTTGGTGGGTTGCTACAATGGAGAGGCATCTGAACTTGCTGCTTATTCCTGGAAGCCTGAATCCTGATCATTTTTTCAATCTTATAGTTTCAATTATTACTGAAAATGATCATTTTCCTTGGATGCCCATCGTGTAGAACCATCGCTTAACACAGAGACCAATAAAAACCCACAGACCCTTCTTTTGATTCTTATACTCATTCTATATCAAGTGAAGGGCTCAGGTTCTCCCGTTCTGGAGACGTCTGTTAATTTCCAAATGTCAGCTAGGAGTACTGAGTTCTATGCATACTCTGCCCAAGAAATATATAATGTATTATATCCAATTATGTCAGCAGGCTAGGAATCATATCCAATTTTCAAGACACAAGTGCATGTCATGTGATGCTTAAACATTATTAACTTTATGCTCAGCACAAGTTGCTGCAATGGTATGATTTTAGTAGATTCCAGCTTCAATAATCCAGTGTGAATATGAATCTCATGTAAACTGGGAAGTAAGGTTCTTTAGCTTGCTTTTTTCTATGAAAAGACATTTTCTAAATACAAGAGGAGGCTGCTAGAGGGGAAAAACCACCTTAGATACCACAGAGAATCTTAACAATGGGATCAGAACAGAGAAGCAGGCTGCCACCCAGGATGCTCAAGGAAAAGAGACCAGAGACCAAGGCGGCATGTGAAGGGCAGGAGATCCAGACTCTGCCTTCCCGCAAATGAGATGGAGTTCAAATTCTGCCATCATTGCTACTTGTTAGAGCATTTCTAATGCAGATTCCTTATTTGTCAGCAAACAGCAGTTTAGTCACTTGAGTAAGCAGAACTTTTATTTTTTCCCTATATCTATACAAAAGCGAATTCAAAAGCTTGACTTACTGAACTAAACTTTATAGCATACTTACATAGCTATATGGAATGATATGAGTGAGCAGTTATAGATCAATTTTGCTCTTTGAACTATTTTGCATTTTATATTGTCTTTAGTAAAATTCTGATCAAATAATCATACAGATAATTTTGAATCAAATGATTGAAATGATAAAATCATTCATAGAAACTTACCTCAAAGTCAAGGTCTGAATACCGGGATTTTCTTCTCTGTTTTTTTTTTATTTTAAAAAAAAGAGGAAATCAATAAAGTTATGTTTAGTCATTCATATAAAATGGAAATCATAATTGTTAATAAAGCATCTTTGTACACACTTCTTTCACATAAGAAAATTTTCACGGCCTTAAAATATTCTGTCTGCATTATTTCATTTTCTCCTTGAATCTCCCTTGAATTTGTATTTTTGTCTTTAATTTATAATCCAATTTTCAGTTAGGGGAAATGATTCCTGGGAAAATTCACCCATGAATTTCAATCGGGAAAGAGACTTTACTTCTACAGTAGCAAAACCACTCCTGGCTTCAGCTTTTTTTGTGTAGCTACTGGCGGATCTTCTGCTGACCTCCCCCCAAGAGGTGTATCTTAGCTGAAGCCCTGCTCGGTCATCTGGGCCAGGCCAACATGTGCTCTGGGGCCTCCCCTCACCATCCCCGGCCTCTGCTCCTACAAGCCAGTACCATGGAGCCTGGCTCGAGCCCCCTTCCCTACCAGTTCTGCCCGCCTTTCTATCGACATCATACATGGCTCCCACATTTCTTGGAATTTGGTAATCGTCTACCAGAGGAAAGTCCCTGACTACTTGCCTCAGGAGCTGGGGTACTATTCTACCTCAGTCAAGCAAGTACATATTCTACGCCCCAGCAAAATGTCTCACAGTCTTCCTCTGTGGCTGAAAGTTGGGTGAGGTTTTGGAATCTAGTTATAAATAAATGTGATCCACTTTGTGGTGCGCATTTCGGGTATCTGCCGAGCGCTTGCTGAGGGGCAGATGTGGGGAAATGTGTACAAAGGCATCCAAACATGAAGGCAACAAAACCAGTTCCTCACACAGACTTCTAAAAAGGCTTATATTGGTGAAGATGAAATGGGGAGAATGAATCAGTATTTACAACAATTAATAGATGGTTGCAAAATAGGTAAAATATTTAAGTTCTTTTTGCTCTGGTTCACATCTTAAAACTTACAATCTTTAGTTTTGTGTGTGTGTGTGTGTGTATGTGTGTGTGTGTGTCTGTGCGCGTGCGCATGTGCACTCGCGCACACGCCTGTAATGGAGCTTGACCTCAATGAGGTCTGGGCACTATCATTCAGCTTTATTTGCTCAAGGCTGGTGCTCTACCACCTGAACCATAACTCTACCTCTGGCTTTTTGATGGCTAACTGGAGGTGAGAATCTCACTAATTTCCTGAGACTTTCCAGGCTATTTTTGAGGTGCAATCTTCCTCTCTCAGCCTCCTGAGTAGCTAGGATTACAGGTGTGGGCCACCAACACCTAGCTTTCTCTTAAACTAGGACTTAGAGTCTAGCAGATGGGGTGGTCATGACAGATTAGACTCGGGGGTAAACACAGGAAGTGTGCACATGTGTGTGTGCACGCACATGCGTGTATGTGCTCAGTCAGGAGAGCTGTGGCTGGTAAATGGAACAATGAGCACGTAACCAGTGCAGCGTGGGGAGATGGAAATAGGCGCATGTGCCCTGTCTTCCCGTCTCCACACACTGACGCCCACTGGCTCATGGCTGACCGAGTATCTTCAGGCGTGACTGCACTGCTCTGCGGGACACCTGTAGAGAGTACCATTCTTGTGTCATGAGTGAGGAAAACTGCGTTCAGGTAACTCAGTCCTCCATCAGGAGTGCAAAAAGCTAAGACTAAGGGCAGGTCCACCAAGCGAGCAAAGAGCCGAGACTAAGGGCAGGTCCACCAAGCAAGCAAAGAGCTGAGACTAAGAGCAGTCCCCCCACATCCAGCTGTCCTCCCTCCTCTTTGTGCAGTACCTCCTGACTGCACTGTGGCCCAAACAGGCCTGAGGTCCAAGGTGAACTCTGAGATGCCAGTGGTATTTTTAAGGGGACGCAGTAGCCACGTGACAGTGATTCCAAAGAGAAGCTATGCTGAACCAAACAACCTGGAGCTCATTCTAACACGCGCTGCTTCGGGGGCAGCCACGGATGTGCTGTTCCTGTGGTAAAGCGGGGGGGGGGGGGGGGGATGTGGCAGCTGAGATGGGGGAGAGGAGGGGAGACGGATCTATCCAGGGAACGAGCGACTCCTCCCCCTCCCCCTCCCCCTCCGCAACACGTCGGCTGGCGGTCGAAACCCCGCGAGGGTGCAAAGGAGGCGCCAGGAACCCAGCCACCGCTCCAGCCTGGCAGATTCACAATGGATGCAGTCTTTCAAGCCCGGAAGCTTGCAGAAAGCGTGCGTGATTTGCACACTCGTTCGGATATCTTCCTATGGGTGTAAGGACTGCAATTGTTAGGTCTGAAAGTTGTAAATAATGGCTGTGTGTGTAAATGAGAATCAGCTAGCAGGCTCTTCAGATGGGCCAATCACTGAAAGAGAAGGGGTCATGGTGAGGCTAAAGTATGTTCTGAAGATACATAACAAAAGAAACACCAGGGAGCGGAACCATGTTTTGTTAGCAGGGTTGGGATAATGAGGGAGGAAGGGGGAAGAACGCAGTCACAGTACTCAGTGCACACGCTCGGACCAGGAGCGGGGTCACCAGAGGCAACAGTGGTGGGGTTGGGAGAACGGCAGGAGGGGCAAACTGATCAAGACTCAAGAACTGACAGGTTGGGGCTGGGAAGATGGCTCAGTGGTAGAGCGTGTGCCTTGCATGCCTGAAGCCCTGGGTTCGATTCCTCAGCAACACATAAGCAAAAAGAAAAAAGCCGGAAGTGGCACTGTGGCTCAAGTGGTAGAGTGCTAGCCTTGAGCTGAAGAGCTGAGGGACAGCGCCCAGGCCCAGAGTTCAGGCCCCACAACCGGACCCCAAAAAAAAAAGAACTGATAGGTTGAGCTGACACCCCTTTGTATAAATATGTAAAGATAATATAACAAATGCCCCTATGTACTTAATTCTCAACTACATCAAGAATCCTTTTTGCCCCAGTGGACGATGTTTTTCTATGCTGTCTCTTTTTCCTAATTTCCCACTGAGAACTCACTCCATTTGTATTCTCTGTTCTTAACACTCCATTAAAATTCTTCTTGTCAAAGGCCTCTAATGAGCTCCATCTGGTCAAACACCAAGGTCAATGTTTCCATTCTCAGCTTGTTGGACTCTCTGAGCCTTCAAAGCGAACCAGCTCCTCATTAACATACGCGTCCTCAGGGCTCCGCTCCTCCCCGCCCCCCACACTGTTGGGGGCTAAAGCTCATTTTCAAGTCTACATTTTCAGCTCTGACTTGCGCCTCTCTTCCTGAATGTGGGGATCCTGAGACCCACACCACACTGGCAGACAACGAGGCACCCTCACTCCCAGCTGTCATACCCATTGGGGAGGGGGTGCCACCACTGTGGAAGGAGGTCTGGAGGTTCCTCAGACACTAAACACAGCACCATCCCATGGTCCAGCCAGGCTGCTCCTGGCATCTACCCAGTGTTACAAGTGAGGATATGCCGAAGACACTTGCTCACCAATGTTCCCTGCTGCACTATTTACAACAGCCAAGTTATGGAAACAGCCCAGATGCCCTATAATGGATGAATACATCCAGAAAATGTGACATGTGTGTATGTGTATAAAGCAGAATTTTACTCATCCATCGGGAAATATGATATGATGTTCTTTTCAGGGAAATAGATGGACCTGGAAAAAATTAAGTGAAGTGAGTCGGTTATAAGAAGACAAAAGATGCATGCCTTCTTTCAGATGTGAGAATTAGACCTGAATTATAAGTATGTATGTAAGCATACAGGGTCACCTTTATATGTACACCAGTGTATTAAATAGTACATGTGGGAGAGGATTCCAGTGGTGTCACTCCTCTAAACAATTAACTGACCATCTAACAAAGTGAATACCAGGACGCTGGAATCTGTGTTAGTGGGAGAGTGAGGTCAAGGGTAGGGGGAAAAGGAATGGAGAGAGGAGGACTGGGAATGTGGCTTAGTGGCAGAGTGCTTGCCTAGCATGCATGAAGCCCTGGGTTCGATTACGTCAGCACCATATAAACAGAAAAGGCTGGAAGTGGTACTGTGGCTCAAGTGGTTGAGCGCTAGCCTTGAGCACAGAGAGGCTCACAGACAATGCCCAGGCTCTGAGTTCAAGCCCCAGGACTGGCAAGAAAGAAAAAAAGGAAGAAAGAAATGGAGAGAGGAATAGAGGGCAGATGCAATGATAACACGTAGTGTTACAAGCATGATATGGAAATGGAAATAGGTTGTTGAGAGCATGGATTGGGTTGGGAGAGATGAGGAGGATGGAAAGGGAGACACTTATCAAGATGCATCATACCCATAAACTAACATGTTGAACTGCGATCCCATTGTATAACTAAAGATAACTATTTTAAAAGCAAGGGTTGGCTATCTAACTAGCCAAACCTAAAGAATAGGAGTTACCCTTCATCTTCCATACTTTTCCTGTCCCTGTCCTTGTTCAATCCACATGCTCATGCTCTCTTCAACTCTATTCTAGTCTGTTAACTCTGTTCTGTTCCATTCCATTCTATTCTGTTCCATTTTAATAGGTTGCATTCTGTTCTATTCTATTGTTCCATCCCGTTCTATTCTGTTGTTTTATTCCATTCCGTTCTGTTCCCTTTCTCAGATGCATCACACTGGCATAGCTAGTTGGCTGCTCACTCTTATGTCCATGTTTCCTTTACAGTTGGTGTCTTCATCAAGCCTCCTAACTGTCCCCAGCCATCTACCCAGCCCTCTTTGTAGCTACTATGCCTCAGTCCTTGGCTCTCCACACCCCGGGTTGGGATGAATGGCTGTTGGGGCTGGAGGACTAGAGCCTGGATCGGGTGGTGGCCATCTCCCACTTCAGTCTTCATTGGCTTCCCCCGTCTCCATGGGCACTGGGTCTGGATCTTCTCTCTTCTCCACATGAGACATTCTCCTTCTGTCTCCACACAAATCATTCTCCCTCAGTGACGCGAATCTTGCGATGTAAACAGGATGAACCAAGCTCCTTCCTCTCCACTTGCAGTTTCTTCGGCCTGGAACATTTCCTTGCTCTCCAGCTCCA